GAACCAAAGTGCAAATCATCCACCCCCCATGGGGGGGCCATCCTGAACCCCACATCATCCCCTCAGCCCCCTTCAGGCCCCCAGCGCAGGCCCAGGGCCTGGAGCTTCTGCCTCAGGTAGCTCTTGAGCTGGGGCAGGCCTCTCTGGGACTCCAGTTCCTCGAAGGGTAGCTGTGGGCAGAGGATAGGGCGGCAGGTTACCCGCAGGTCGGCAGTAAGGATGCGCCACGGGGAAGGCCAGGGCCACTCACCGGCAGGAGCTGGTAGCCCATCAGGCCCAAGTGCCGCTCCCTCAGGGCCCTCGAGCCCAGCAGCACCCTGCCGTCCCGGCAGAAATGCCAGCGTTCCCGCAACACCAGCACCACCCTGCAGGGGGAGGGACGTGACTCAGGGCATGGCGGGCAAGGTGGCCAGAGTTCCCCCACCCTGCCTCCGTTACCTCTGAGCAGGGTCTCGAGTAGTGGGGCTAGAGGCAGCCTGGCCCTGTAGGCAGGACCTTGGTGGGTATGGCAGGAAGGGGTCCTGGGTCCTCACGGGAAGCACAGCACCAGAGCCGCCGACACACAGCAGGAAGTCTGGAGGGGGAGCAGGGTCGGAGGCCTTAGCCAGAGCTCTGTCTCCATGGGCCTGCCACCTGCCCCTCGCTCACCTGTGCAGTAGCCTGGAGGCACAGTCAGGTCCTGGCGGTATTTCTCCTCCCCCAGCAGCTGGCGCAACCCCTCAGCTACTATGTCCTTGTGACTGAGGAGAAAGGACACCAGTAGCAGGAAGGGCCCGGCACCTCATCCTAGTCTGTCCCAGTCTAGTGCCACCACCCTGGGTAAAGCCCTCTGCTGCTTCAGGGCCCAGTTTTATGGTGGCCGAGAGCTCCTTAGCTTTGGCTTCATGGTCCCTCTGGCTTTTCCACTCTGCTGCTCCCAGGCTGGCCCCTCCCCTTACCCCAGGCTGCCCCATCCACCTGTACTTGCAGCGGGCACGGTCGGTGATGAGAGGCTGGGGAAAGATGGGCACTTGCTGCCTTCGGGGAAGGCGGGGACCCCGGTATCCTGGGAGCTCCAGCTCCACGGCTGTGTCCAGCAGGGAGAGGTAGCGACGCACAATCAGAGCATGAGGGGTGCCTGTGGGGAGGCGGGGACTGGGGCTCCGGGCTGCAGGCCACCCTGTTCCCCTGCCTCTCCAGCCCTCAGGGGCCCAGCCGGCCATCCTGGCTGCGTACCACTGATGTAGTTGATGAAGCCAGGGGAAAAAACAAAGTGCAGGGCTCTGAAGGGCAGGCACCGCAGTTGGCACAGTGACATCAAGATGTTGACTGTGGCCAGGGGTGCCACCCCTGCTTCCCGAGCCAGGATCCTCTCAAGGCAGGGCATAAACTGCTGTTCCAGGGGCAGGTAGTTCAGCCGCCCGAAGGGCAGAACCAACTTCTGTACCACCTGTGAAGGAAGAGCAGTTCATTACCCAGTGTGAAGTACTTCTGCAGTCCTTTTTTACAAGCTAAGCCTTAGACAGGCTTAGCCCTCAAGTTTGTAACACTGCTGTAAAGACAGGACAGTCCCTACAGCCTCACAGTTCAACAGCAAAGCAGTCACAAGCTGCACGTGACTAATCACCAGACAGGCAGAGGGGACATCACTGTGGGGTTTGGCCCTGAAGACTTCAAGGAGAGGGATGGGTGGAGCTAGGATGGTGCTAAGAGTGCTTTGGGAAACTGCAGAGTTCCAGGAATGCATGCTGGTGACAGGAGGTGGGCAAGTCACAGAGAGGGTGTAGGAAAAGATGCAGGTCCCAGGGGACACAGAGCGTGTCTGCTTCAGGAAAAGGATAGCTGAGCTGCACAGGGTGCTGGGCCTGACGAGATCCCTGAGAATGACTGAGAGATGCACTGGAGGGTGGGTGGCAAGCCCACCTTGCTGCTGAGCTGGGTTTCCTGAACCACCAGGAAGTGGGCAATGGCTTCCAGAAGCTGGGGCTCCCGTAACCGGTGCCGGGCCAGGTGCTGGGCCAGGAGCACCATCACATGGGGAGTCAGTTCCTCTGGCCTTGCCTCTGTGAAGAACAGCCTGTCACGCTGGGCCTCGGCTGGACCTCCAGCTGGCTCAATTCCACCTCAGCCCAGCCAACTGAGACCACCTTCCTCCTCCTGTCAACCCTCCCAACCCCGTCTGACTTTAACCCCCTCCAGCACCTGCCAGGCTGCTGATCAGATGCTGCCGTGGATACCGCAGAAAACGGGGACAGCTTAGAGCAGCTTCCAACCCTTGCCCACCTCGGAGAAGGGGCTGCAAAGGGGGAGGTGGCTTCGGAGGGAGGCGGAGCCTTCGCTCCTGTTCCAGGGCACACACCAGGGGACCATCAGACGGAAAGCCTGAGGGGGAGAGGTAAAAGGCAGCCTGGTAATGGAGCTGTGCTGCTGTTCCAATCATGGGGTTACTTGAATTCCCCACCTTTCTCCTGTTTCCTGAGCAAGGTGTGCTAGAGTTTAAGTGCAAACACTAAAGAAATGTAAAGTATCACGTGGCTATGAGGTATCAAAACGGTCTGTGGAGAGTACATACAAAGATGGCAAATAGGCTTTCATCTTGTACCAATTGTGACAAATTATGGTGGCTTCCTAGGACACTCTATTAGCAGGAATCTGAGGTGGCACCCTAGCGAGGCTGGAAGGAGTGCGTTTGTCTCATGATGTCTGCCGCATAGGACGGGAGCAGGAGCAACCATTCCTGGGCAAACGCCTGAGAGGCTGGGTCTCTGTCCGTTGTCCTCTACTGTTCTCCCTATTCTTCATTAACACCCAGCCCCCCAGGCGCCCACCTCAAGCCCCTCCTCACCAAGTAAGACTGCAAGGTGCAGACACACGTGGATGGTGTGAATGTCAAAGGAGGGGCAGTTTCGGATGATGAGCTGACTCAAGTCCTGCAGTGTGGCCTGCTCCACAGGAGGGGGCCGTGGCCGAGACCCCAAGAGCTGGCCCAGACGACGAAGCGCCACCGAGTAGTGGTGGGCGCGCACTTTGGTGGGGTTTTGGCCCAGCCAGCGCAGTAGCTCCCCAGGGCTCTTTGCCTGTTCCAGAAGCCGCTGCAGTCCTTGCACAGGACCTGCACTGGGGCCTCCTCCAAGAGGCCGGTCCGCCCATTTGCTGGGCCCCAAACAGCAGGGCTGTACCGGAGGGATCAGCAGCAGCCCAGACAGCCGAGCAGGGGAGGTCTGAGCAGAGAGCAGAACTCGAAGCATGGAGTTGGGTGATGGAGACCCTGAGGGGCAGCCCAAAAAAGGGGGTGAGGTTTTCTCCAAAGGGGAGAAAGACCTGCTACCTACTCCTTACCTCACTCCTCATTTAGGGGGCCTGTGGTCAGAGCAACCCCTTCTGACTGCTCTGGGCCTCTTCCCCACCCCGCCCCTCTGCCTCCTTCCACGCCTTTGAAACAGCAATCATAATCCTCAGTGCGCTCAGGGCACTACTTGCAAAGCAATTCCACATGCACCATCTCTGATGCTCCTTACACGCCCGTGAAGAGTAGGCAGGGCTGGCATTACCTCATTTCACCGGTGGAGAAACGCAGGCCCAGAGCAGCGAAGGGGTTAAGTTAAGCCTGAGGTCATTAACCGGGTTAGTGGTCGCGCCCAGTCTGGAGCCCAGGCGGCACCGGCGTGCACTCTCCCGACCACCTCCCTCTCCCGCAGGAGGCGGCGGCGGCACAGAGGGTGGAACGCGGGCTCCGCGGCTGGACGGCGCTGGGTTCCATGCTGGGCGCTCCCACTCACCAGCGGCGTGACCTTGGACAAGTGGCTTCGTCTAAGTCTCCTCACCCGTGAAATGAAAACGCAGCGCCCACCTCGCAGGGCGCGCGTGGAGCCCGAGTGCACCGCTTTGCGATGGCGTGGGGTCGGCGAAGTCGGGGGCCCCCACACCCACCCCTACCCAGGGACGCCAGGAGACCGTGGCCGCTGCCGCTAACACCAGCTCCCGCTGCCCTCCCACAGCCCTCCCC